GCTGTACAATTAATGTGTGAACACACTTGCTACCATGTGTGTGTCCAGCAGCATTTGCACATGCCTTTACAATAATCTGTTTAAGCGTGAGTGTGTGTGTGTGTGTGTGTGAGAGACACACTCTGTTTTGCGTACTATACATCCCGTATTATTCTCCTCAGGCTGTGTATTTCACCATCAGCTGCTCTGCTTTACATCATCCTGTCAAGCTAAACACACATAGATCCACTGTAGAGGAGAGTTTATTTACATGTGTTTTTTCCCGATTTTTTTTTTCCACAGGGCAACTGGAGGACCTGAGGTTGCCATGGGAACTGGCCCCTGGCCCCAGCCCCCTACTGAAGCTGAGCAGCTCCAAGCCCTGATGGCTGCAGCCAACGGTGGGTCCTATACCTCGTCACCTCTTTCGTCCCTCCTATGAGTTCCACCATCTCTTTTCCAAACCTATTTATTGCTCTTCTTCTCATCAGGATGCGTGGGAAGTGGTGGTTTGTTTAGCTTCCTGTTTGGTTGGAGAGCAACAAGCCAGACTCAGTCATTGATAAAGCTCTGTCTGTCCATGCTGGCGTTTCCATTTAGTGGACGTGAACCTAGTATTACTACCCACAGTTTCCTTGATGTAGTAAAGCTGATTTGTTGAATATAATAACACAACAGTGAGACACGTTTCCACTGTACACACTTATCACATGTTTAATGTTTTACTATAAGCAGTAAGCTATAAGGGCTACTCGTACATTTATGTAACATTAAAGCCTATATGATTCCTATATGTTACAACACACATCCTCCCCCTTCTGTCCTGTCCCTTCTGTCCCTGCAGTGACGGCTTAGGCAGCACTGAGGTGAATTCACACAGTGACTCATCTTCAGGCTTTGTCATCGCATAGAGAAGTACGCAGAAAACAGCAGGATTACCAAGACCAAATGTAGCGTCAGGCAAACACAAATTATACAAAGATGGTGATGATGGAGAGACGAATGTGACGAGGTTTATTGGCAAACAGATTCAAGCCGTCACTTCCAGTGTTATTTCACCACCAATCTGTCCCCCCTTCTTGGACACTGGGAACTGGGCCCTGGTGTGTGACATTTTTTTTCCATCACTGGGAAATGGCGAGATGGTCATGTGGTGGTAACCTGCATGTTAGACAGAATGAACAATTTGAGCCATCAGGGAGGAAGGAACAAACTGAGCATGTGATAAATACTGAAGGTCATCTCTCCTTTGTGCTTAATGTCACTGTGCCGATAAACACAATGACAAACACGGAACAATTCATTTAATTAGCGCTCCACTTCAGAGGAGAAGGTAATAAAAAAGTGTTCTCTCTAATGACTTTAGCTCCAGCACAGTTAGAACTGCAAATGTCATGTGCATGTGTGTGTTTATGGAGGCTGAGATGAACTAGAGAATGGGGGAGGGAGGGTTTGTTCCCTGGCTCTGCAATGCAGGGGCTGTGGGAGAATTATGGGCTGAGCAGCTACGTCATGCGCGCTCACAAAAACAGGGCATGCCTGATTTTTTTTTTTTTTTTTTTATTTTAAGAAAAGGAACGCCAGATAAACAGAGGAATAAGACATTTTCAGCAACCATGTTGAACAAAAAAGGAAATCCTCTTCACTCTTTTGTTAATATTTCTTCTTGTTCATATCTTTACTTTTTAGGTTCACTTACAGTCTCTTTATGTTTTTGTTTGAACTAAACCTGATGTTCAGACTGAATTTCGTTTTAATCTCCTGTACAAAGTATTATAATTTCCTTTTATGTCCCATTTAATTTCACCTCTTCTGTTTATACTAGATATTCTTCCAAATGCTTTTCTAACAAGTTTCATCCCTCTGTCCTCTTCCCTCCTCACCCCTTGTCCCCCAACTTTGTCTCTCTTCCCCCTAGAAGTGAGTGAGGCTACAGCCACCCTCGGGCCCGGCACTATGGGCTTGAGCACCCGCTACAGCCCCCAGTTCACTCTGCAGCACGTGCCAGACTATCGTCAGAACGTCTACATCCCAGGCAGCACGGCCACCCTCACCTCAAACCCCCAGCAGCAGCAGGCCACGGCCCAGCAGGCCACCCAACAGGCACTGCCCCCTCCTCAGGCCTCAGCTCAACCAGAGCCCCCTAAGGCCGCCCAAACTCCAGCCTCCAAGAAGAAGTCCACCAAGAAGGAGAAGAAGTAGATGTGAATAGGTGAAGGAATGATCAACCTGGGCCTGATCTGATGAGAAATTAACCCTCCACACCCCACCATTAGATATCTTAAATATTGACAGCAAATCACTTGTGACCACATGGGCGATTTTGAAAGTTCTTTGAAAGTGTCTTGAATGCCTCAAAGAATCTGAATGTGTTGAAAGCTGTTAGTGTTTCTAACTTGTGCTGTGCTTAAGGTCTATTATTGTTCACATAACCGTTGTTGGTAGATATATTTGGCTGGGTGTGGGGGGTTACTGTCCCCCGCCCATATTTCTTTCTCTTTTTTTGGCAAAAATACAAAACAAAAACTTGGACAAAGAGATTCAGTGTAAGCAACCTTGCTGGGATGACAAGACTATACGCAGTGATGTATTCAGAAATGAAATGTTAATGTCTTTCACGTTGGATTTTTTCATGCACTTTCCATGAAGTGGAAAGTCAGCTGTTGTAAAGTACGTTAGTTGCCATCCATTAGATTGCTAATAGGGTCAGCATTGCTGGGTCTTAAAGCGTTAAGTCCTTTGACTTTAAGGCTGTTGTTTGACAAGTATTACAAACTCTTCTGCATGCTCATTAAGGTTCAAACCACATATACTAGTTTAGAATTGCAAACTATGCATTGCAAAAGCAGAGGAGGAGGACATCTTGAATCTATTATTGTCCCTCCAATCGCAGGTCAATATAATGCACATGTAGCATTTACTTGACGCAAAATGAAAATTACTTTTGTAATCGTAGTTTAAAAAAAAACCAGATTTTAATCTTCTGATATTTTTATGACCTGAGCATGCACCCAGAGGAAGGGCTGGCAAAAAGTGGGGGTTGCACGGCGCTGTGTCGTGGAGTCACGAGCCATGCTGTCCATATCAGTGGTACAGCAGCAGAGACTGGCTTCTTCTGCAACACCTCCAAGATGGGCACAGATATGTCTTGCTGCCCCGCACCCCCCTGCCCTCCCCTCCTCACACTCAGCTCGTGTCCCTCCCTCATTCACCACCCCCATATTGAGAGCCAAACAAAAAGAAATGCACTGTTAGTATTCTTAAGATGATGTAGGGGTTGTAATCACTTCAGTCTTTAGGGAAACATGTAGATGTGGTAAACTTAAGTGCTTAGGAGTTTCTAGACACCTTGCGGGCCTTTAGGGCCTCGATGGAGTATTTTCCTTCACCATCCTCAAGTGCTGAAGAAACGTCTTGATGTGGCACAGTATCATGTCTTTTCTTTGGGAGATAACGATTCGATAGCATAGAGAAAGTGTTTGTATAAGATATGAAGTTTTTACATTGCCGTCTATCCTTCTGTCAGACTCCTGGACACGTACAACAGCATGAAGAAAAAAAAAGGCAGCTTGCAGGGTGGGTTAGGGAGAGTGGAAGTGGTATGGTGAGAGGTAAGCAGACTGAGGTGGCACCATTGTATCGATCAGGGGGTGGTAAACATCCTTGGCTCTACCCACTGAATGTACAGAGGAACCACAGTTGACCTGCCCACCCCAGAAACTCTCTCAAATGCACTGACTGTAGTAGAGGTCAACAGAGCCAAGCGCAGTTGTCCCTGTTGGTGAGGAGATGCCACTCACAAGCCCTTTGAAATCTCTCTCTTCCATTGACACCAATGGGAAACCTCAACCTCTTCACCCCTCACCTCCTCCCCTCTACTCCCTAGTCCTGTGAGGCTCTTCCCCACTGTAAATAAACACGAGTCCTGTCGATGGTATGAGCCAGGTGTTTGTATAGTAGGGACCATGTCCAACATTTTCAAAATAAAAGTCCCTCTCCACAAGGCGTGGCTTACTACTGGAATGTGTTGCATTTTGTTTTTAAGAAAAAAAAATTAAGAAAACCACAGTTAAAAAAAACAATAATAAAAAAAAATTGAGATGTTCTTCAGCAGTTTGTGTTGCAATGTAGTAACTAAGCACCATGGAAGCCAACTAACACTTAAGTGTAAATAACTGATAAAGATAACTTTAGATAAGTAAAAGAAGTGACACACGTAGACTAGTTAACTTGTGGTATGTGTTGCGCATATTTTTGTGTTTATTTTCCCTCTACTATCTTTTATCACCCTGTAAAGATACAAAAGAAAAGAAAAAAAAATATGGAAAAGTTTCTATCCTTCTGTAACCTCTTAATGTTCTTTTGCGGTGATTTTATCTTGTGCATTTGTGAAAGAATGCCTCTCATTCTCTTTCTGTCCATATGAACAAATGATTATAAATATTATATATGTGTAAGTCCGTCCGCTGCTGAATTAATCCTACTCTATCCTGCTGTATTATCTTTCTTATCAAATGCTTAAACCCCACGCTATACCCCTGTGTTACTCTCTTATTTTTATGCTAATATTTATATTGCTGTTTTATTTTCTCTTGAACACTGACATTTCAAATAAAAAGATTCATTTTAAAATTACTTATGCGTGTGGTTTGTGTTAATGCTGCTATTTGTCATTTCTCTCACAGGCTGAGTGAGGTAACTCTGAGCATCATTACATTGTTAACAATATTAATCGCGCTCACTAAACAGTTTTAAATGCTTCTTGGAGTTTTAACCATGTGGCTGCAGCACTACTAATTAATCCCAGAAGCCTTTTGTCTTCTTTAATTTCAGATTTCTTTAAAAAGCAAACTACGAAGCTACAAATAATTTACAGGAACTAGGATGGCTTAATCAAAAACATGTTAAATTGATGATATAAGTTCTGATCCTTTTTCAATAGGACTCAGAACTACAGCTGCCAAAAAAGTATTCTTTGTTTAAAAAGAAAAAGCACGGCACAGCATATTAAGTCAGTAAAATTGATTTATTTTGCATCTTTCTAGAAAAGGATATGCTTCACAAGAACAATTAGTACGCCTATACAAATTAGTACTAAACTGCTCTTTAAAAGTTTCAATAGAGTCCATTGATCTCAAACGTAATGGTAATGGATTCCATTGTTTATTTTAGTTTTCGCTGTAGTATGAGGAACCACCAACAAGACCTGCATGTTACATATGGGTGCACGAGTTCACTATTGTAAGCTGACATTTGACCATGCAGAGCTCTAAAACTGATCACCAAGATCTCAAACTGAAGTCTGAACGTTATAATTAAAGCATGGTGGAAAGTAAAATAGTACTGAGGTCAAATGTAAGATAATCATAGAGCTTATTCTATAAACTGATTCCTTCTCCAACTCATTGATATTAGAGCTACACGCTTTTCTATCTTTCCTCTTGCAGAAGTTGGGGCCACCATAGGGAACATGCCTGCACATGCTCTTTGGGCCTTTCAATAGATCTTACACAATAACACATGACTCTATAAATAGCCCACAGGACGTCACTAAGCAAAACAAAAGGAGCAGCCCACTGCTGCAGATGTTGGGGGATGGAAGGAGGGACTGAGAAACTGGAGGGATAGAGAGGATGTGTCGGCCATGAATCAGGTCGTTATGCCTGCTGTTGTGGGTTTTCGGAGTCCAGGTTACTGCCTGAAGATTATGCAAGACCAGCGGCTACTGGAGCTATTTAATCATACCTGAAATGACAAAGAACAATCCAGTTTTTCCACACAACAGCATTCCACCATCAATCACTGCAGATTCACATACCCAAAATGGCCGTCTCCTCTTGCCACTTTCTTCTTGAGTTATATGGTTGCCACAGTAACCATCAGCCCTAGCGCTGGATGCTTTGCTCTGTTCAACACATCTTCATTACAGATATATCCAGTGGCCATTATTGGCTCTGCTCAGGGCCTGGCTGAGCTCAATGACCTGCGGAAAGATAAACATATTCAGCAATTAGTCAAACCTGGCAACCGACTGAGCCATATGTAGAGAACATGGCAGAGCTGATTGGAGAATATCCCACACACACAGACACAAGGAGATGAGTCAGAGGTAATAAGGCACTGTGGGTTTGTCCCCATTTGGAGAAATTAAATATGAGCTTCCATTTTAGAGCCTATTCTGGTTCTATCAATGAAAGGAAACTGAGGTGCTGTTCATATGGGTATATTATACATATACAAGTAGGACTTAAAATAGCTTTATAGTCTCTTTGTCAGCTGATGTTTGTCATCCTGTGACTCATACAGACTCCTGATGCCCTGACTGTCCCCATGTGTCACAAATTTCCCCAAGGGGAGACCCAACAGAATGAGGAGATTGTTCTTCTGTTGCCCCCTTTATGTCCCCTACCCCATCTCGCTTAATTGAGCACATTCCTACTGATTATACACACATAGAGATGCACAATAGTGTGACAAACAGGCAAAAAACTTCAAATCAGTGATGTATAGCAGTCGCAGACTAGAACCTGACAATGGGCAGCCTGTGTACGATAACAGCATTAGTGACACAGCCTGGACACAAACCAGAAGACCAGGCTTCGTCATATCCTCAGTGTGATACATGCACATGGAAGCAGAGATGTGGCAGCCCACAGAGACACTTACACACCCAGACATTCAAAACACACCCACGAGCACCCACGATAATTAAAATGTATTATAATTTGAGCTATAATTCACATCACACGCCTACATAAGAAAACGGAGGTTTCTCTCTTCCTCGTCAGTGTGGGAGCTGCCAGAAACTTCCCGCGCAAGGAAACAAGGATCTCATTTCAGGCCAAGGAAGACTTAATCAATGTGAAGAAAGAGCAGGATGTGACGTAATGGGTTGCTAGTGGCGGGACAGGAAGTTAGTTTCCGCGCCCGTTTACTGTTTTTTAACCTCACAGTAGTAAAATCAAAGGAAGGAGTTCCTCCCCCCCCATCCTCCTTCACTGGCTTCCTCTCTTCTTCCTTCCCTGCCCCCCCCCCCTTCCCCCCCTTTCTCACTCCAGCAGCTGTCTCTGCATATGTAGGGTCACCACATGTTGGAGAACAGAGGTCTGTTTTGTGGATATGCACACTGGAAGACTGAAAGGATAAAGCTTAATCTGGGTTTTTGTCGGGAATAACCCTGACATGAAATTATATATATATATGTATATGTATATGTGTGTGTGTGTGTGTGTATAAATTAACAACCACTCATCATAAGCAGAATCTAAATCCAGCAGGAACTGACTGACCTCCACTTTTATCAAGCAGGAATCTTGCAGTGCAGAGCCAGAGAAAGAGAGAAACTGCTGTTTTTAGGATGAACGTTCCTTATAAAAGATTAATTGACAGAGAAGAATGGAAAGTTAGTTTTCTGATGGCACTCTCCGCCAGCTCTAAAAATAACCCCTGAACAAAAGCGTCGGATAACACCAAATGATTTGTCACATATGAACACACACATATCCAAATGCTGCATTGCTCTTTAAAAATCATCTTTGTATCTCTGTAAAGACAAATATCCTGCTAATTTTCAAAAAGTCTGCTTTCATTTATTATTTCAGCAGAGAGGAATGTGTTCATAGGGCAGCGTTAACAGGGAATCTGCTGCTCTAAGGCAGAAAGAAGAAGGGGGGGTCATTGAGAAAGAGCATTGGAGCGCTGGAGCCTGAACGTTGCTAAGGCTAACACTATCCTGATTTAAAGAGACTCAGTAATGTTCTGGCTGCTGGCTTGACTAAATAACAGAGATGGAGCTGTAGCAATGTGGAGGAAGAATACAATGCTCCCTTTCAAAGCCGCAAACCCTTTTTCTCTTCATCTGAAAAGCCCCCTCTCTCCTCATCTCTCTCTCTCCCCTCATCTTCTTTGCCAAGTGTTCTTGCTCCTGTTTTCTCAGCTGGGAGGATGGAAATGAGACAGCGGGGAGACAGGAATTGAGAAGGGAAAGACAGACTGAGGGAAAGAGAAGGCTGACATTAGGCTGCTACAGACACAGGGTTAATTGCTTTGTAAGCCAGTGAAAGAGAAGAGTGAAAATATGAGGACTGCATCAAGTCAAAGGTCGCAGACAACATAAAATAAGAAAGTGCAGTTTGGTTTTAATTTCCCCAACAGAATGGAACAATGTGTGTGTTATTTTTTTAGGAGATCAAAAGCTTCCATCTGGTGTAAAGTGGTTTAAGGGCATCCTCTCCCCCCACCTTGTTTCTACACACTCTAATACCCACACACACACATACACACACTAAAAACACACATGCAACACTCTAGCATAACCCCAATCCCTTTTAACAACCATACACCCCATGAGCAGTCCTCCACCCCGCTCCCTATGCAGCTACCACACCCCCAGCACAGTGCAGAGGATCTAATCCATTGCCTCCACCAGCTGCGGTTGTCATGGTAACAGAAAATTCCAGATTTCCATGATGAAGGCTGGAACAGAGAGGAAACCAGAAAATAAAATGTTCAAGGATTCAACAAAGAACGCCAGTTTACTCTTTGTTGTTTTCGCGGGCGTGTGTGTATGTGTGTGCGTGTGCATTTGACACAGCTGCATGTGAAGGATGTTGTGTAGCATGTATTAGATTTTAGACATACCAGAACATTAACCGAGGAGGTTAAGTGTGTGTGTGGGAGAGAGGTGGGTCTGAAAGGTCGGACACGCTGTGAATGCGCAGCTCCTCCAGACATGCAGACATTGACACAGAGGCATGTCGACAACTCAGCACCATGGCGACAGGTGTTGCTGCGGAAATGGTGCAGCTGCTGCATGGATATTTCAGGCTAATAAGCGTGCATCATCAAGCAAGTCTCTACTTTCCCCCTCTCTCCCCACTGCACCGCTGTGTCCCCTAAACTGCCCCTGTGACTGATCCCCTTTCCAGTAGAGTCATGCAGTATTGTTTAGAAAATACATCCAATTAGGAGAGAATCTCGAGGTCTTCAGGGAGCATACACATCAACAAATTCATTACACGTGCTGACATAGCTTGCATAAAAAACACACAAAAAATAACTTGCTCAGTTCTTGAATTGCTGTTGGTAATAACAAGGTGTGAAACCAGATGGTTTCTGTCTAAAACTAACTGGGACACAAACCATGTGTCAAATTCACCCACTAATATCAAGCACCGGCTATCAGGTTGAATGCTTTCCCTTCTGGAAATCCCACAAGCATCTCCAGAATGAGTAGAAATGCAGCCACAGTCTTTAGACAGAAAGCCTACAATACATACACACAAACACACAGAAATTATGAGAATGTAGCATATTTGTGAAACCCCAAGGGAAAGCAAACTGGGCATCAACACTTGAAATCATCAACTGGGATCATGGGAATGTTTTAAGAGCCATATCTCACATTCTGACCGTCATCTAAATGTCACCAGTGTTGGTGGGACGCTCTGCTGTACGCCACGACCTCTGGGACAGGTGTTAAACCCATCAGCAGAGGAGGAAGCTGGGAACTTACTCTGGAAACATGGGAAATCAATTCAAATACAAGACATACCAGAGGTTCTAAGTGATCACTGTACCAGATAAAAATGTAGAAAAAAAGCCAAGCACATTCCTACAGAGGAAAAGTGCATTATCTGTTATAAAGATATATCAAAGGTGCCAGGAGAACCTCATAAAGGGAGATAAGAGCTAAAAGCCAGTGAAAATATTTGTTCTCTTGTCTTTGCTTTCTGATGCAGTGCAGTCAGACTGTGCACAATTAAACTTCCCCAAAATGGTTCACTGCCTCATTTAGAAATTTGCAGGAGTTGTGACTAGTTTGTTTGCATGGAGGTGTGTGTGCATCAACAGCAGGCAGAAAACAAACCTCTGAGAGGATTAATTAGAAAATACTGCAGGATGTTCTGGGAAACTAAGAGGAAGAAGACAGAGAAGGGGGGGCAAGTTCCAGTGCCCTAATTTACTGCTCTCATGATACGTCACTACCATCCCTCTCCCTCCCTTCCCCAGTCTCTTTGTTCTCTCCCCCGATCATATTCTCCACATTTTTAGCAACACACAAACCTAATTCATTTGGTCAAATTCTTTCAATGTTTCCCCATTATTTTTATCTCTATCATTGTCACTACATCCATTTTCGTTCTTTCTTTATTGCTAAAGCCAGATAACCAGACTCTCTGCCCTAGATAAAAATTGAGGTCTGTCAGTCTGCCTTTGTGACCCCGCCTGACGTCCATCCATCTATTCATCCATCCACTGCTTCCCTCCACTCCTCTCTTTCCATTTGAGATGGTAGTGGAAGTCCACAGAGTTCAGTTTGTGTCACTCGTCTGTCGGTGTCCATAAAGCTCAAATATTCATGCGCCCGTTCCGCGCCATGCAACAACAGATGATGTCGGAGTGCGAAAGACTCTCAGTTTCCATGGCAACCTCCAACATCCATTCCCCTCCTCCCCCTCCCCTCCGCATCCCCCTCCTCTCTCAACTCAGTTGGGTGGTAGCAAGGGATGGCGGCGGGGATGATTACCTCTCTGAGACCATGCAGCAAAGGGGGG